GAGAGAGAGAGAGAGGAAAGGAGAATGGAAGAAGAAGAAGAAGAAGAAGGATCGGGTTTCGTGCGTAAAATTTTTCAAGGGGGGTTTTCTTATTTATTTTTTTTTTTTCTTTTTCACCTCTATCTGCGTGCTCCAGGTGCAACCAAGTTCCATGAGCTGCTGCGCGAATTTCGGCCAATCCTGACGGATGCGGGCAACAGATAAACATCAAGGCTTAACATTTCATTTCATTTCGCATACATCTCGAGAAGAATAGAGAAAAGGGATGGGGAGGGGGGAGGGGAGAGAGAGAGAGCCTCGTATTTTCCAAAACCTCCTCTCAAGGACAAACCGAACATTTTCGAAATTCTCTCGAATGGGAAAATGGAATTCGGCGAGTTGGAAAGAATTCACCCGCGGAATTGCTATCGATCGAGAGAGGAGGAGGAGGAGGAGGGAGGGGGCGACGAAAAACGACACTTCGAAGCGAGGTAAGAAGTTCGAAAAAAAAGTTTTCACGAGGCATGCGGAGAGGCGTCATCACGGAGATCCTTAATCGACGGCCGCGCGCTCGTGGATTATTAACACGCTTAACTCGTTATAATTCCCCCCTTTGTGCCTTTTTTAATCGACGGGTTCGGGGACAGGGGAGAAAGGAGAAGAAGCCATACCAAAAGCGAGAGTGGCGCGAATAATTCGACACGTGCGCGTGGAATAATTCATGTCGCCTAACCTTGAAGGTCAGTCACCGAGGAGGAAGAGGAGGAGGAGAAGCAACAACGACAACGAAAATCCACGAGCCGCGGGAGTCGTCGATTTCGTTTGAGAACGAAACGCATATCCCTCAAAAAGGGACAGGTGTCTGAGAGAGAGAGAGAGAGAGAGAGAGCGAGACGATCGAGAAGCGCGAAGAGAACGATTACCTAGAGAATCGAGAGTTGTTATTGCGAGTAATATATCGTGGGAGGCGTATCGTCTAGGTAGTAGTAATAAGAAAAGGAACTGTTGTCGTGTTCGAAAATAAATACGTACCCAACGGCTCCCGTCGCGCAACGCGAACGAGATGACCGAGCATAACTGTACTTACCACTCCCTTCCGTATGCACAAACAGACAATTACGATCCGATTAAAAAAACGCGGCGGTGATACGGCGGTGGAGTCGACGAGCCACGTTTGGAAAAAATTCGGGGGTTACGTTTCATTCTCGAGAAGTGGGATCGCGTGGATCGAGGCGAACGCGTTGGATCGTTGCCAGGGCGTTTTCACTAACCATCGTGAACTGCTCGAAATCCTGTTGAAGCGCCGCCGCCTGCGCCTGGTTCATGAAGTAACTGTTCTGGTCGATGCTCTCCGACGTCAAGTTCGGTGGACCTGGATGACCCGTCGGGCTGGGAGGCGCCGATGGATTGTTGCTGTAGCTCAACGGGCTCCCCTGCGACCGATCGATTCGAAAGAGAGGATTATTTTTCACATTCGTCGGTAAAGTTTTCCTCGCGCTTACCTGAATCGTTAGCCCGGGCGAGGACTGGGGCGACGGCCTGTTCACCTGCTGCGAGGACCTGTACGAGCCCAACGAGTTGAGCTGCGGTTGCTGCGTTTGCGACGACTTCTGCGAAAGGAAGCGATACGTAAAAAGGGGGGGATCTTTCGAAATTTTTAAAATATGCAACGCGACTAACTGGACTTTGCGGTGGCACAGGGCTGTGCGGTTGCTGATAAATGTAGTGGTGGCCGGCCGGGCTGTGGGTGGTCGCCGCCGGTGGCTGGCCCATCGCTGCTTGTTGCGAGTAGCTCTGAAGATCCTGTTGCGAAGTACTTGTGCTGTTTTCCAACGCCACACCCTGTTCCACACAACACAGGCGTCATCACCCGTTTAATTAATCAACGATCGCTCGCCCATTTTCGAAAAGGCGAGCCGATTCAAAGCCACGCGTTCGCTTCACCGATCTCGGCGAGAATTTTTTTCGAAAATTTTGCAAGAACGTATCCTCGATCGTGTCCATATTTCTATTCTTTTTCTTTCACTTTTCACCATAGACACGAGGGACACGAACGATCAAGGGATCGCGTGACTTTTCAATCGCGAGTCAAATTCCATCCGACTCTATCGTTTGCAAGCACTATTAATAAGCGAAACTATGAGAGAGAGAGAGAGAAGAAAAAAAATCGCAAATAAGCGGGAAAACAAAAAAAAAAAAGAATTACCACTAACCTTACACGTGTGAAGAAACCTAGAGTTAACAGGCACTGATAAATGGTTCTGCAAAAATAACAAACACAAACGAACACTACAACAAAGGCAAAATAAAAATAAAAAATGAAATTAAAGGGAAAAAAAAAAGAAAAAAGAAAAGGTGGCCCCCCGCCAAGCGTAACAGGATGCTCGAATTCGTTCGAGAGACGACGCGAATCTGTTTCGGGAGAAACAGATTCGAAATTTCAATAGCAAGAAGTCGACGCCACGATGTTAAATCGATAATATTCCGGATTGAGAAACCGTGAGATTGCCCCGTCGAGATGGTAAATTTTCGCTTTTTCGACTCGATCGATAAAATATCTTCTTCTTCTTCGACCGACCGATATTGCTTATTCGTCGAGTTTCCGTTGCTCGCGTCGCGTGATGGTTATCGAAGCGCAGAAAAGCACAGAAACATCTTGTTTTCTTTCTTTTTTTCTCCCCATGCAACACTACGCATGTACCAGCCTTTACTTTCCTTTTCTCACGAGCCATCTATATATATATATATATGTATAGCTTTATGGAGAATTCTTTTGCACGATCGTACTCGATATTCAACTGACGTTAATCGTGGAAGTAATCTAAAATTTTTAATTCAATTTTAAAAAAAATCCAGGAAAAAAGAATTTTTCTGGCCTTTCTTATATAACCTTGACTCGAATCGATCGTGCAACACGATTCGAGGCATCCTTTCCATTCCGTTTATCGATCAGAAATCTAAATCTCGTGTCTCCGCTCGAGGATGAAAGACGCCTCGATTCCATAAAACCGATCTCTAATCCGAGACGAGGCCGAGACAACCGTGCGAGAAACAAGGAGAGAAATCGATCGTTCGAATCGCATGGAACGCGACGGTGGACTCGGCCGGTCGACGAATGCGACAACAACATTCTCTCTAAAGAACCCTAAACAGATACCGTAAAAGGGATACCGGAAGGATATTTACTTGGGCGCCGGTCTGATCCTGCGAAAAGGATAGCCTTCCAGCTTGGGGCAAGCTGGTCGGCGACAGGTTTGTGGGACTGCTCGTTTGACGACTCTGGAATACACCATCGTTTCAAAAAGACGATGCGATACGCGCTCGCAGGAAGGGGGAAACGAGAGGGTAGCTCAACGCGACGAGATAAAGAATAAAAGTGAGAAGAGAGGGAAGTTTCATTTCTTTCGTTTTCGTTCGAAGGAGAGATGAAAAGGGATTTCGAACGAAAAAGAAGGGAGGTCGAACTCGGTGGTGGACAGAAACGAGTGGGTGGAAGATTAATTCGGCGGGACTTACGTTGCTGAACGGCGTGCTGCTCGAGTGATCCTCTTGATCCGACTGGAAATGGGCCAGGTCGGGCAACGATCGCGTGTTGCCTATTGGAATCTGCTGCCCCGCCGGCTGAGAGCTTGGATCTATGCTGCAACACGAATAACCATCTCCGTTCAGAGATGGACGCGGGAGAATTCCTTCCCTATCCTCCACGCCAGATGTCCACGTTCCCCCGAATATTCTCCGATTGTTTCCCCACTTAACACTCTCCCCGAGCGTGATGGCAATACTCGAAATATAGGAATGGAAAGAGCGTGGTGAAATGAAAGAAAGTAAAAAAAAAAAAAAATACGACGAGTATCGACGAGACACTCCGAAGGAGAGCCTGTTCAAAATTACACACCGTGTACATAAACTCGCGTGCATCGGTATGTATATAATGCGCCGCGAATACAATGAAACACCCGATACAATGGGTGCAATAAATAATGCATAGAGCGCAACAACAATAGATTATAGGCGAAATTTCTTCCCTCGACCGAGATCGATGGAAAAATTAGAGTTACTCACTTGTTTCCAGGCACTCGGGGTATCTCGCAGGAGGATCTCGGCCGTTCGATGAATCCGTAATGCAAGTTTCTGTTCTCGCTCCCGGATCCGCTTATGGTGTGTTGATCTGTGCAAAATATATACGTATATATGTATGTGCATGTAAGAATTAATCAACGCATGTTTTGGACGGAGTTTGGAGAAAAAGGCCGACCTTTTCGCAACCGTTATTTCGAAAAACGCGTGGCATTGTCGTATAACGCGTGTGTCGTCACCCAACACGGAGGTTCCGATTTCGTCGCGGCAACGTAACACTAGTGTAACGCTAGTTGCTAATATTACGGCGGGTATAGCGTTTCACTGCCGGACCCCTCGTGCCCTCTCGTGGTTCGAGGCGAGATTAAGCGGGAATGATGATCGAAGTTACCAGAATCGAGAAAAAGTTTCGCTTTCGATGTTCTTCGCGCATTCGAACGCATGCGAGAAGATCGTTTCGAGAAACAGGATCCGTCTGTTTGGCTTAAACGGTATATATACGAACAACGCGTTATTTTTTGGTAAAATAAATTTTGCTGGAGAAGAAAGGTGAATTGTTACGTTTGTTGTTTGATACGAATCAAAAATGGTGTAAGGTGAGGTTATGTCTTGGACACTTGGACAAAAGTTTTCACACATGCTGGAAAATATTTAGATAGATATATCTCGTTTGTTATTATAGTTTTGTCATTTCTGTAAACTTGGTTTTAGAGATAAATTTTGAGATTTTGTCCTGATAGGTAAGATAGATAAAAATTTAGTTTCATTTTCCCTAATACGTCCTTTACTTCTTCCGATTTCTCGAGAAAAAGACGCGTTGAACAAAATGTTGAATATAATTGACGAAGTTTTAGTATAAATTTTGAGATTTTAGGTTCCTATAATAACAATTTGTATACTTTTTGTAATTATATAAAATAATTAGAATCGTATTGTCCAATATCATGATTGTTCCAACAGTGACTCTCAGTCACCACTCGGTTCGATAACTCTGGACTCGGTCATTGCTTGGCAATCGATACGGCAAAATTCGAACGGCGACGATACTTATTTACGTTTGATTTTTTAAAATATCGCTTCGCGTGTAATCTTCGATCGAATTATATTCGGCATTAATCCGACTTCAGTTCGTGGCGATAGAAATAGATTATTTTCAAAGTTTTCGAGTTTTGTAAGGATGGAATGAAATTAGTTCGAGCGGAGACGAGTTTGATTTTTCGTCATTGAAATTATTTCTATTCGAAGAAATTGACGATAGAGAGAAGGAAAATAAGAAGATGAAGGACAAGATGCAACTTGGTAATTACTTTAATATTAAAACACCACGCAAAACAACTATAGATATAGACTTCAATATTCGACGAAATTTTCTCTCTTCACACGTAAAATATTAAAACACAAAAGTTTCATACGTTAATTTGCGCGTGAAGTTAGCCAAGAAATTCGTTCGCCCGTTGAAACATTTTTTCTTTGCGTTTAGGCTGTGCTAAGATTCTCCAAAGCGATTTTCACTCGGCTAATTGGAAGATCATTCGGTTCCTTTTCGAGCTCCCCCGCTCGTCTCAATTCACGATGCAACGAGGGAATTTCTCGAGCGAACGTTCCACGGGGAAGGAAACCTTTTTATTCCCGAAATAATATCCCGCCCTCCTCTCGTGTACGGCGATTATTTATCCGGGCGAGCGGACTGAAAGCGTCCATCGCGCGAGGATTTTTGGATTTTTTCCCCGAACGAGACGGATCGCAGAAACGACGCGAAGACTGACTTAAAGATTACGTTCCTGTCCAATTTTATTTACACCCTCGTTACATCCGCGTAATTGGCGCAACAACAGGAAGAGGAAATCTTAGCTCGAATTCGAATCGGAACTCGGCCGGAATCGCAGGAAATATCGGATGGAATATCCGACAAATTGACCGTTTTGTCGCGTGTCGCGCGCTTCCCCTCCTTCGACGACTCAATTGCGATCGGTTTAACAAGCGGCTGTCTGATTGCCGCGCGTTCCCTTTTTTTTTTTTTTTCCCCGTTTTATTTTTCCACGAACCGAATCCTTCAAGCGCGAGGAGGATTCGTAATTTCTATAATACGAAGGATCCACTTGGACAGATTAGCTCGACGAAATCCGGGCCCAAGCTGTAGGACACTTTGGATTGTTAAGAATCTTCTCTAAGAATTAAATCCCGATTGAAAAAATTCATTCCACGATTCTTTCATTCTTACTCGGCCCGATCTTCGATTCCGCTCGTGCTTGGGAAGGGGTTAATTAATAGCGAGGACTATGGGTGTAACTTACGTTTCCTCCTTTTTCCACAGATTTCGAAACATTTCGACTCGATTGCGTCGATCGATCGATTCACGAACGAGCGTATTTTCGAATTCGGAAATGGAAAGAACAGTGGAAAGAATACCTCGCCGATGGGGGATGGTGGTGGTCGATTGGCAGGCCTCGTTGGCGCTCTGATGGAGGGCCGAATCCGAATTGGTTCTCCTCCACGTGTCCGGGGGCGGTGGCGACAGATACGGGACACCACTGTACGGCGAGGTGTCGTGCCTCTTCTCCATGGGCCGCGACCGCATCGGCCCCACCCCCATGCTCCTTCCCCTCTCGTTGTTGCGGTACGGCGGATCCTAGAAAACAGGCAGGCAAAGCGTCACAACTCTCAAATCGTCGATAAAAAATTCCATTCCACGCGTTTCACTTCGTTCTCGACGAGAGAAAAAGAACAAGTCCCGGAAGAAGACACTCTCGACTCTTATCGAATCGAACGTTTCGATTTTCAAGGCGAAGGCTGCTCGCATTCTTTTTGCAAATTCCTGCGATAACCATTCCAACCTCCTCGTGAAGAAATTTCGTGCTCGCCGTTATCGACCCGCGTTGGACAACAACAACAACAACAATAATAATAACGCTCGAGGAATAATCGGCACGAACGACCGGTCGTTCCATCTTGCTCGCTCAAAGTTTCGAAGGAGGGCGAATTATTCGAAGGAGATAAGAATCGATGACGATACTATAATTAAAGTATCCTTCGATATTTCGCTGCGAGAGGAGAAGAGCGATGCGTTGTCAAGCCGCTCGATGTCAAGGCGTCTTCGACGACGGGAGACGGTACGGCGGATGCGGAGACAGGGAGGGGGAAGAGAGAGAGAGAGAGAGAGAGAGGAGGTAGTTAG